TAAGTTTATCTAGTCTATCTACTCATTGAGGGCTGGAGACTTGTGCAGTCAGGGATGAAACCCAACAGTCTCTAGTGGGGAAATAAAGCTATTCTGGAAAAGAATGCTAGTGCCTAGATGTATCAATTTACCATGCCTTCCTATGCCTACATTTAGGGTATGTGCAGTCCCTGTTGGCTATCTGTGTGTTGTTTGCCTGTGGCCATTGCTTAGAAGACATAGGTACTCATGGTCAAGGCTACATTTGTCAAATGAGTCTGAGTTTTCCTCATTCAACACAGTTTAAAATCTCCTCCCCTATCCCCCAAGATCTCTCTAAATCCGAGCAATACAAATTTCTTTTAGAGTTTGCACACAGACACATACCATATATACTCAAGTATAAGTCGCATTGGACAGACCACATCAGCTCTAGTTTCTGATAGAGAACATATGCTATCCAGTAGTAGCCATCTGCTCGCCCACAGAAAACCATATTTAATAAGCCTTGGCACTATAAGAGGGTTTCGCAAGACCAGTTGCTTTCGTTGCAACACTGTAGTATCGGTGAGGTCGTGGACCATATTTTAGTTCTTGCGGAGCACTGGTGGTCCACGGACCACAGGTTGGGAACCGCTGCTATAAAACATACACCACAAATGCATCCTGGAATGCACATCAAAAGTGATACAGTGCTTTTAAAAAATCCCAGGAAAGTCTGTGTTCTATCAAAAATCTGCTGTAACTGATTTCTGTGTATCCCAATTTGAGGGCAAAATCAGGTCTGCAAAATGCAGAGTGCATTGCAAACATCTGCTCCTCCTGAAGCCCAGTAAAATTCGCAAGAGGGATTTGCCAAAAAAGCGCAAAGGCCATGGCTGGGCAACTGGGGGGGGGGGGGGCTAGCCAATCCCCTGGGAGATAAAATCGATTACCTCCACTGCTACCTGTCACTTTCTCTCTCCTCCCCCCTAACTCAATATGCCTCTAGTGTACTGATGTTATTATGTGTATGTCTGTTTCTGCCGCATTGAATTGTTGCCCACTTGTAAGCTGCTCTGTCCTCTTCGGGGTAAGAAGAGTAGGGTATAAATGCAGTAAATAAAAATAAATAAAAATAAATAAATAAATTCGCATCTCTTGGGGAAATGGGAAAAAACTAAGTTTGAAGCCAGGATCCATGTTCAACCTTATCACTTTCCTGGCCTCTAATTGGTTCTAGATCTATCCCACACAGTGAAACTGGTTCCTTTTCATCCACTTCCAAACTGGCTCCTCATGTCTTTGTAGAACTACCCTGAGATAATCAGCTTCAAGATGCTGTTAGCTGTTTACATTTGATGCATGGAGAAAGATTTTAATTACTGCAATTAGTACTGTATACAGATAGAGGCAGCCAGCTAAACTGATGTTTTGGATTCATTTGGTCCTAACTTCTTTGAAGTAACTTGACAGAGATCCCTGGTGAGTTTGGTGGGTAGAAGGTGTCTGTAGTTTTAGTTTCAATATCATAGACTCATTATAGACATGGAAGGGATCCTATGGGCCATTATATGGTTCTTAACATCAGTAAGACCAAGGAGCTTATAATGGACTTCAGAAATAACAGACCAGAAATCCTGCCCTTAGTCATAAATGGAGACCAAGTGAAGTGGGTGACCAGTTTCAAGTTCCTGGGTGTCACTGTTAAGGAGGATCTGACCTGGGGCATCCTTACGGCAGCTTTCGTGAAGAGGGCCCAGCAGAGACTGTACAACCTGAAACTTCTAATGAACCAACAACCTAATGAAAAACTGCTGGTGACTTTCTGCCACTGTCCTATATAGAGTGTCCTAACCTACTGCATCTGCATATAGTTTGATAAATGCATAGGGAGGTGCTTCAGAGGGTCACCACTTCTGCACAGAGAATAATTGGTTGCCCTCTCCTCTCTTTGGAAGAACTTTATAGAAAGCTCAGAATATTCTTGGGGATCCATCTAACCCAGCATATTCTTTTTTAAAAAAATTATTGCCATCTGGCAGAGTGACAAAGATGACAGACTGAGAGAACCGTGGATATGTTGAACTCCATGGTGTCACATTGACGTGGCATTGGGTGCTTTGCGGTGTTGGCTGGAGTGTGGAGGGATGGATGTGTTGTTTTTATAATGTGTTCTAGGGAAGGAAGTGAGTCGCCCCTGGGCTGAGAATTGCGGTATATAAGCAAAATAAATAAAATAAATAAAATGACAAAAAAGCTGTCCTGTTCTATTATGTCCAACCTCCGGTTCAACATGATGTCCAACTTAGAGCATTCCCAGTAGATAGTAAGATAATTGGTTTCACAGTCAAAGTGTGCTCATCCTCAAAAGGTTCCTTCTAAAAAGTTCTTTCTAATGTTCAGCTGAAATCTACCATCTTGTAACTTGAAAACATTAGACTTATTTCTACTTTATGAGGGAGCACAGAAGAAAACACCCCTCCTCTCTGTGGCAGCTCTTGAGGTATTTAACAAGTGTAATTATGTTCTCTTAGCAGTAGCTTCACCAAGCTGAGCATGTCCAAGTCCTTCAACATCTTCTCATACATGTTTTGTTCTTCATACCTCTTATCATCCTTATTGCCCTTCTTTAAGTGCATTTCAACTTACCAAATCCTTCTTCAAACGAGGCACCCAGAACTGACTGTGGTATACCAGATGAAATCTGACCAGTGCAGAATATAGGCAGCCCACTTCTCTTGGAAACTGTGTTTCTATTAGGGTATTGTGTGGTTTCTGGGCTGTATGACCATGTTCTAGCAGCATTTTCTCCTGGCGTTTTACAACAACAACAACTACTACAACAACTTATTTATATCCTGCCACCATCCTCCCAGAGGCGGCCCTAGGTAATTTTCAACGGTAAGCAAACAGTATTTTGGCGCCCGCCCCCCAACCAGTCGTTGATATATATTTTCTGTTTGTCGTGGGAGTTCTGTGTGCCATATTTGGTTCAATTCCATCATTGGTGGAGTTCAGAATGCTCTTTGATTGTAGGTGAACTATACATCCCAGTAACTACACTTGCCGCACTTGCTCCCTTGCCTGGCCTGCTTTGGGTCCGGAGGCGTGCCTGAAGACCCCGGCGTGTGCACCAAAAGTCACCTCTTCTCCTGACTTTCTCCTCAGCCATTGGGACCAAGAGAGAGAGAGAGAGAGAGAGAGGTGGAGATGCCCACCTTTCCTGAAGGAAGGCGCAAAAACAAAGGAGGGAGCGGAGGTGGGAGATACCTCCAGCCGGAGGGGCTCTCTCTCTCTCTCTCTCTGGTCCCAATGGCTGAAGAGAAAGTCAGAGAAGAGGCGACTTTTGGTGCGCACGCTGGGATCTTCAGATACGCCTCTGGACCCGAAGCGGGCCAGGTGCGGCGGCTCCGCCCCTTGGCCCACCCGCGGATTGGGGAGAGGAGAGGAGGCAGGTGGAGCGCCAGGGGATCGGGAAAGGGAGCCGGTCATGGGGAAGGGATCGAACGTGGAGAACGATTGAGCGCCGGCTCTGCTCGCGCACCCGGTAGCCGGGTGGAGCAGGAACGAGAGGGGCTAGGCGAGGCTCAAGGGCCCGGCCCCTTTGGGAAGAGGATCGCCCGGCAGCAAGGCAAGAAAGCAGAGGCTCCCCCCGAACTGCTAGGGCTGTTGTGAGCTGAGGGGGTGCTCCTCAAGTGGCAGTCGAGGGGCATTTACAGAGGCGCCTCTGCGCCCCGGCAAAAAAAGTGTTCTGCGACCGCTTACTTCGCGTAATGGACAAGCCGCCCCTGCATCCTCCCGAACAGGTTTGGGCCATGTGATAGTGCTTCTTTCTATTCCATATTTAGTCAGTTTGCTGATCAAAATATCACAGGAAATCTCTCCACATCATTTCCACCATCCACAAAACTAGTCAATTTTTAAAGGGTTAATGTGGCAGGATTTGTTTTTTATAAAGCCATGCTGGCTCCCACTAATTACTTAATTGCTATCCCCTGTCCATAAATTATGTTGGGCATTTTCATGAAGCAAACTATCTAAAGAACTTGACGGTAGCCAAATATCGCTGCCTATTTTCCAAATCTAGGTGCAATGTGCTCCTGTCTAAATTGCTGTGTGGGAGATTTGCAGGTAACCCATATAATGAAAGACTCTGCCCATGTAACAAACAGGAAGTAGAGTGCATCTACCACATTCTACTGTCGTGCAGTTTCTATGAAAAGGCCCAAGCAGACATAATCAACCCCCTACTAAGGAATTTACCAGCAAGTTGAGTGAAATTTTATGTGAAGTTTCTACTTAGTGACAACCTTCCCTACATGACCTTGGCAGT